AACACCGTCTTCGGGAGGTGAAGGAACAACAAAATCTTCAGGTGAAGCAACAACGACGACGTCCGAAGGTGAAGGAACCACTCCACCTGTTGGTGAAACTACAACACCGTCTTCGAGAGGTGAAGGAACAACAACATCTTCAGGTGAAGCAACAACGATGACGTCCGAAGGTGAAGGTACCACTCCACCTGTTGGTGAAACTACAACACCGTCTTCGGGAGGTGAAGGAACAACAACATCTTCAGGAGAAGGAACAACGACAACGTCGGAAGGTGAAGGAACAACTCCACCTGTTGGTAAAACTACAACACCGTCTTCGGGAGGTGAAGGAACAACAACATCTTCAGGTGGAGCAACAACGACGACGTCCGAAGGTGAAGGAACCACTCCACCTATTGGTGAAAGTACAACACCGTCTTCGGGAGGTGAAGGAACAACAACATCTTCAGGTGAAGCAACAACGACGACGTCCGAAGTTGAAGGAACCACTCCACCTATTGGTGAAACTACAACACCGTCGCCGGGAGGTGAAGGAACAACAACATCTTCAGGTGAAGCAACAACGACGACGTCCGAAGTTGAAGGAACCACTCCACCTATTGGTGAAACTACAACACCGTCGTCGGGAGGCGAAGGAACAACAACACCTTCAAGTGAAGCAACAACGACGACGTCGGGAGGCGAAGGAACCACTCCACCTGTTGGTGAAACTACAACAACGTCTTCGGGAGGTGAAGAAACAACAACACCTTCAAGTGAAGGTGTAACGACAACGTCGGAAGGTGAAGGAACAACTCCACCTGTTGGTGAAACTACAACACCGTCTTCGGGAGGTGAAGAAACAACAACATCTTCAGCTGGAGCAACAACGACGACGTCCGAAGGTGAAGGAACCACTCCACCTATTGGTGAAAGTACAACACCGTCTTCGGGAGGTGAAGGAACAACAACATCTTCAGGTGAAGCAACAACGACGACGTCCGAAGGTGAAGGAACCACTCTACCTGTTGGTGAAACTACAACACCGTCTTCGGGAGGTGAAGGAACAACAACACCTTCAAGTGAAGCAATAACGACGACGTCTGAAGGCGAAGGAACCACTCCACCTGTTGATGAAACTACAACACCGTCTTCGGGAGTTGAAGGAACAACTCCACCTGTTGGTGAAACTACAACACCGTCTTGGGAAGGTGAAGGAACAACAACACCTTCAGGTGAAGCAACAACGACGATGTCGGAAGGTGAAGGAACCACTCCATCTGTTGGTGAAACTACAACACCGTCGTCGGGAGGTGAAGGAACAACAACAGCATTTTCAGGTGAAGCAACAACGACGACGTCTGAAGGCGAAGGAACCACTCCACCAGTTGGTGAAACTACAACACCGTCTTCGGGTGGTGAAGGAACAACAACACCTCCAGGTGTTGAAGCAACAACGACGACGTCAGAAGGTGAAGGAACCACCCTACTTGTTGGTGAAATTACAACACCGTCTTCGGGAGGTGAAGAAACAACAACAACTTTAAGTGAAGCAACAACGACGACGTCCGAAGGTGAAGGAACCACTCCACCTGTTGGTGAAACTACAACACCGTCTTCGGGAGGTGAAGGAACAACAACATCTTCAGGTGGAGCAACAACGACGACGTCCGAAGGTGAAGGAACCACTCCACCTAATGGTGAAAGTACAACACCGTCTTCGGGAGGTGAAGGAACAACAACACCATTAAGTGAAACAACGGCAACGTCAGAAGGCAAAGGAACTACTCCACCTATTGGTGAAGGTACAACACCGTCTTCGGGAGGTGAAGGAACAACAACACCTTCAAGTGAAGCAACAACGACGACGTCGGAAGGCGAAGGAACCACTCCACCTGTTGGTGAAATTACAACACCGTCTTCGGGAGGTGAAGGAACCACTCCACCTGTTGGTGAAACTACAACACCGTCTTCGGGAGGTGAAGGAACAACAACACCATTAAGTGAAACAACGACAACGTCAGAAGGCGAAGGAACTACTCCACCTGTTAGTGAAACTACAACACCGTCTTCTGGAGGTGAAGGAACAACAACATCTTCAGGTGAAGCAACAACGACGACGTCCGAAGGTGAAGGAACCACTCCACCTATTGGTGAAAGTACAACACCGTCTTCGGGAGGTGAAGGAACAACAACATCTTCAGGTGAAGCAACAACGACGACGTCCGAAGGTGAAGGAACCACTCCACCTATTGGTGAAAGTACAACACCGTCTTCGGGAGGTGAAGGAACAACAACATCTTCAGGTGAAGCAACAACGACGACGTCCGAAGGTGAAGGAACCACTCCACCTGTTGGTGAAACCACCACTCCTGTCAGAGAAATTACAACACCATCTTCGGGAGGTGCAGGATCAACAACACCATCAAGTGAAGCAACAACGACGACGTCGGAAGGTGAAGGAACCACTCCACCTGTTGGTGAAACTACAACACCGTCTGCGGGAGGTGAAGGAACAACAACATCTTCAGGAGAAGGAACAGCGACGACGTCGGAAGGTGAAGGAACCACTCCACCTGTTGGTGAAACTACAACACCATCTTCGGGAGGTGAAGGAACAACAACATCTTCAGGTGAAGCAACAACGATGACGTCCGAAGGTGAAGGAACCACTCCACCTGTTGGTGAAACTACAACACCGTCTTCGGAAGGTGAAGGAACAACGACATCTTCAGGAGAAGGAACAACGACAACGTCGGAAGGTGAAGGAACAACTCCACCTGTTGGTAAAACTACAACACCGTCTTCGGGAGGTGAAGGAACAACAACATCTTCAGGTGGAGCAACAACGACGACGTCCGAAGGTGAAGGAACCACTCCACCTATTGGTGAAAGTACAACACCGTCTTCGGGAGGTGAAGGAACAACAACATCTTCAGGTGAAGCAACAACGACGACGTCCGAAGCTGAAGGAACCACTCCACCTATTGGTGAAACTACAACACCGTCGTCGGGAGGCGAAGGAACAACAACACCTTCAAGCGAAGCAACAACGACGACGTCGGAAGGCGAAGGAACCACTCCACCTGTTGATGAAAATACAACACCGTCTTCGGGAGGTGAAGAAACAACAACACCTTCAAGTGAAGCTACAAAGACAACGTCGGAAGGTGAAGGAACAACTCCACCTGTTGGTGAAACTACAACACCGTCTTCGGGAGGTGAAGGAAGAACAACATCTTCAGGTGGAGCAACAACTACGACGTCCGAAGGTGAAGGAACCACTCCACCTATTGGTGAAAGTACAACGCCGTCTTCGGGAGGTGAAGGAACAACAACATCTTCAGGTGAAGCAACAACGACTACGTCCGAAGGTGAAGGAACCACTCCACCTGTTGATGAAACTACAACACCGTCTTCGGGAGTTGAAGGAACAACTCCACCCGTTGGTGAAACTACAACACCGTCTTCGGAAGGTGAAGGAACAACAACACCTTCAGGTGAAGCAACAACGACGATGTCGGAAGGTGAAGGAACCACTCCATCTGTTGGTGAAACGACAACACCGTCGTCGGGAGGTGAAGGAACAACAACACCATTAAGTGAAACAACGACGACGTCAGAAGGCGAAGGAACTACTCCACGTGTTAGTGAAACTACAACACCGTCTTCGGGAGGTGAAGGAACAACAACATCTTCAGGTGAAGCACCAACGACGACGTCCGAAGGTGAAGAAACCACTCCACCTGTTGGTGAAACTACAACACCGTCTTCGGAAGGCGAAGGAACCACTCCATCTGTTGGTGAAACTACAACACCGTCGTCGGGAGGCGAAGGAACAACAACACCTTCAAGTGAAGCAACAACGACGACGTCGGAAGACGAAGGAACCACTCCACCTATTGGTGAAACTACAACACCGTCTTCGGGAAGTGAAGGAAAAACAACACCATTAAGTGAAACAACGACGAACTCCGAAGGTGAAGGAACCACTCCACCTGTTGGTGAAACTACAACACCGTCTTCGGGAGGTGAAGGAACAACAAAACCTTCAAGTGAAGCAACAACGACGACGTCGGAAGGTGAACGAACAACTCCACCTGTTGGTGAAACTACAACACCGTCGTGGGGAGGTGAAGGAACAACAACAAGTTTAAGTGAAGCAACAACGACGACGTCGGAAAGCGAAGGAACCACTCCATCTGTTGGTGAAACTACAACACCGTCGTCGGGAGGTGAAGGAACAACAACACCATTAAGTGAAACAACGACGACCTCTGAAGCAACAACGACGACGTCCGAAGGTGAAGGAACCCCTCCACCTGTTAAAGAAACTACAACACCGTCTTCGGGAGGTGAAGGAACCACTCCACCTGTTGGTGAAACTACAACACCGTCTTCGGGAGGTGAAGGAACAACAACAACATCTTCAGGTGAAGTAACAACGACGACATCGAAAGGCGAAGGAACCACTCCATCTGTTGGTGAAACTACAACACCGTCTTCGGGAGGTGAGGGAACAACAACACCTTCAAGTGAAGCAACAACGACGACGTCAGAAGGTGAAGGAACCACTCCACCTGTTGGTGAAACTACAACACCGTCGTCGGGAGGCGAAGGAACAACAACACCTTCAAGTGAAGCAACAACGACGACGTCGGAAGGCGAAGGAACCACTCCATCTGTTGATAAAACAACAACACCGTCTTCGGGAGGTGAGGGAACAACAACACCTTCAAGTGAAGCAACAACGACGACGTCCGAAGGTGAAGGAACCACTCCACCTGTTGGTGAAACTACAACACCGTCTACGGGAGGTGAAGGAACAACAACATCTTCAGGTGGAGCAGCAACGACGACATCCGAAGGTGAAGGAACCACTCCAACTATTGGTGAAGGTACAACACCGTCTTCGGGAGGTGAAGGAACAACAACACCTTCAAGTGAAGCAACAACGACGACGTCGGAAGGCGAAGGAACCACTCCACCTGTTGGTGAAACTACAACACCGTCTTCGGGAGGTGAAGGAACAACAACACCTTCAAGTGAAGCTACAACGACAACGTCGGAAGGTGAAGGAACAACTCCACCTGTTGGTGAAACTACAACACCGTCGTCGGGAGGCGAAGGAACCACTCCATCTGTTAGTGAAACTACAACACCGTCGTCGGGAGGTGATGGAACAACAACACCTTCAAGTGAAGCAACAACGACGACGTCGGAAGGTGAAGGAACAACTCCATGTACGTCTTCCGAAGGTGAAGGAACCACTCCTCCTACTGGTGAAACTACAACGACGTCTTGGGGAGGCGAAGGAACAACAACACCTTCAAGTGAAGCAACAACGACAACGTCGGAAGGTGAAGGAACAACTCCACCTATTGGTGAAACTACAACACCGTCGTCGGGAGGCGAAGGAACAACAACTCCTTCAAGTGAAGCAACAATGACGACGTCGGAAAGCGATGGCACCACTCCATCTGTTGGTGAAACTACAACACCGTCTTCGGGAGGTGAAGGAACAACAACACCATTAAGTGAAACAACGACGACCTCTGAAGGTGAAGGAACCACTCCACCTATTGGTGAAACTACAACACTGTCTTCGGGAGGTGAAGGAACAACAACATCTTCAGGTGAAGCAACAACTACGACGTCCGAAGCTGAAGGAACCACTCCACCTGTTGGTGAAGCAACAACGACGACGTCGGAAGGTGAAGGAACCACTCCACCTATTGGTGAAGGTACAACACCGTCTTCGGGAGGTGAAGGAACAACAACACCTTCAAGTGAAGTAACAACGACGACGTCGGAAGGTGAAGGAACCACTCCATCTGTTGGTGAAACTACAACACCGTCGTCGGGAGGTGAAGGAACAACAGCATTTTCAGGTGAAGCAACAACGACGACGTCTGAAGGCGAAGGAACCACTCCACCTGTTGGTGAAACTACAACACCGTCTTCGGGAGGTGAAGGAACAACAGCATCTTCAGGTGAAGCAACAACGACGACGTCGGAAGGTGAGGGAACAACTCCACCTGTTGGTGAAACTACAACACCGTCGTCGGGAGGCGAAGGAACCACTCCATCTGTTGGTGAAACTACAACACCGTCGCCGGGAGGTGATGGAACAACAACACCTTCAAGTGAAGCAACAACGACGACGTCGGAAGGTGAAGGAACAACTCCATGTACGACTTCCGAAGGTGAAGGAACCACTCCTCCTACTGGTGAAACTACAACACAGTATTCGGGAGGTAAAGGAACAACAACACCATCAAGTGAAACAACGACGACGTCGGAAGGTGAAGGAACTATTCCACCCATGGATGAAACTTCAACGACGTCTTGGGGAGGCGAAGGAACAACAACACCTTCAAGTGAAGCAACAACGACAACGTCGGAAGGTGAAGGAACAACTCCACCTGTTGGCGAAACTACAACACCGTCGTCGGGAGGCGAAGGAACAACAACTCCTTCAAGTGAAGTAACAATGACGACGTCGGAAAGCGAAGGCACCACTCCATCTGTTGGTGAAACTACAACACTCTCTTCGGGAGGTGAAGGAACAACAACATCTTCAGGTGAAGCAACAACTACGACGTACGAAGCTGAAGGAACCACTCCACCTATTGGTGAAGCAACAACGACGACTTCCGAAGGTGAAGGAACCACTCCTCCTACTGGTGAAACTACAACACCGTCTTCGGGAGGTGAAGGAACAACAACACCATCAAGTGAAACAACGACGACGTCGGAAGGTGAAGGAACTATTCCACCCATGGATGAAACTTCAACGACGTCTTGGGGAGGCGAAGGAACAACAACACCTTCAAGTGAAGCAACAACGACAACGTCGGAAGGTGAAGGAACAACTCCACCTGTTGGTGAAACTACAACACCGTCGTCGGGAGGCGAAGGAACAACAACTCCTTCAAGTGAAGCAACAATGACGACGTCGGAAAGCGAAGGCACCACTCCATCTGTTGGTGAAACTACAACACTCTCTTCGGGAGGTGAAGGAACAACAACATCTTCAGGTGAAGCAACAACTACGACGTCCGAAGCTGAAGGAACCACTCCACCTATTGGTGAAGCAACAACGACGACGTCGGAAGGTGAAGGAACCACTCCACCTGTTGATGAACCTACAACACCGTCTTCGGGAGGTCAAGGAACAACAACATCTTCAGGTGAAGCAACAACGACGACGTCCGAAGGTGAAGGAACCACTCCATCCGTTGGTGAAACTACAACACCATCTTCGGGAGGTGCAGGATCAACAACACCTTCAGGTGAAGCAACAACGACGACGTCCGAAGGTGAAGGAACCAGTCCACCTGCTGGTGAATCTACAACACCGTCCTCGGGAGGTGAAGGAACAACAACACCTTCAAGTGCAGCAACAACGACGACGTCGGAAGGTGAAGGAACCACTGCACCTGTTGGTGAAACGACAACACCGACATCAGATAATAGTGGATTTTCATCATCTGAAGAAGGTATGTCTCATGAAAAGGACTCAAAGGAAAGCTCGTCTTCATGGGATTCATCAGAGTCGTCTGGAAACAATGATGGGGAGTCGTCTTTATCAACAAGCGAAACAAATTCTGGTTCATCAGAAACAATTGGCTCTAATGACTCACAAAATAAGAGTGACTCGTCAAATGAAAGTTCTGAGTCTTCTGAAGACTCGAGTTCAAAGAATGATAAAGGAAACAAAAGTGATTCTCATTCGAAAGAAAAAGACCACCATGGATCATTAAACCATTCTCATTCAAAAGAAAAGGGTCATCATGGTTCACACGAAGGCCATGGCCACTCTGGTTATGGCAAAGGGAATTCCCATTCTAAAGAAAGGGATCATCATGGATCTCACAAAGGAGGCCAATCAAAAGAAAGTTCAGAATCTGTAGAAAACGGTCATGGGTCAATTAGCCAATCAGGTTATGGCAAAGGTGAATCAAAATCTTCAGAAAAAGGGCATTATGGGTCACATAATCACTCTGGTTATGGAAACCGACATTCTCATTCGAAAGAAGAGGGTCATCATGGTTCACATGGAGGCCATGGCCACTCTGGTTATGGCAAAGGGAATTCCCATTCTAAAGAAAAGGATCATCATGGATCTCACAAAGGAAGCCATTCGAAAGAAAGTTCAGAATCTGCAGAAAACGGCCATGGGTCATTTAGCCAATCGGGTTATGGCAAAGGCGAATTTAAATCTTCAGAAAAAGGGCATCATGGGTCATTGACCCAGGGAGGAGGAGAGTCCCATTCTAAAGAAAAATCAGAGTCAACTGAAAAAGGACATGGATCATTAAGCCACTCTGGTTATGGCAAAGGGAATTCCCATTCTAAAGAAAAGGATCATCATGGATCTCACAAAGAAAGCCATTCGAAAGAAAGTTCAGAATCTGCAGAAAACGGCCATGGGTCATTTAGCCAATCGGGTGATGGCAAAGGCGAATTTAAATCTTCAGAAAAAGGGCATCATGGGTCATTGACCCAGGGAGGAGGAGAGTCCCATTCTAAAGAAAAATCGGGGTCAACTGAAAAAGGACATGGATCATTAAGCCACTCTGGTTATGGCAAAGGGAATTCCCATTCTAAAGAAAAGGATCATCATGGATCTCACAAAGGAAGCCATTCGAAAGAAAGTTCAGAATCTGCAGAAAACGGCCATGGGTCATTTAGCCAATCGGGTGATGGCAAAGGCGAATTTAAATCTTCAGAAAAAGGGCATCATGGGCCATTGACCCAGGGAAGAGGAGAGTCCCATTCTAAAGAAAAATCAGAGTCAACTGAAAAGGGACATGGATCATTAAGCCACTCTGGTTATGGCAAAGGGAATTCCCATTCTAAAGAAAAGGATCATCATGGATCTCACAAAGGAAGCGAATCGAAAGAAAGTTCAGAATCTGGGTCATTTAGGCCAATCGGGTTATGGAAAAGGCGAATTTAAATCTTCAGAAAAAGGGCATCATGGGTCATTGACCCAGGGAGGAGGAGAGTCCCATTCTAAAGAAAAATCGGGGTCAACTGAAAAAGGACATGGATCATTAAGCCACTCTGGTTATGGCAAAGGGAATTCCCATTCTAAAGAAAAGGATCATCATGGATCTCACAAAGGAAGCCATTCGAAAGAAAGTTCAGAATCTGCAGAAAACGGCCATGGGTCATTTAGCCAATCGGGTGATGGCAAAGGCGAATTTAAATCTTCAGAAAAAGGGCATCATGGGCCATTGACCCAGGGAAGAGGAGAGTCCCATTCTAAAGAAAAATCAGAGTCAACTGAAAAGGGACATGGATCATTAAGCCACTCTGGTTATGGCAAAGGGAATTCCCATTCTAAAGAAAAGGATCATCATGGATCTCACAAAGGAAGCGAATCGAAAGAAAGTTCAGAATCTGGGTCATTTAGCCAATCGGGTTATGGAAAAGGCGAATTTAAATCTTCAGAAAAAGGGCATCATGGGTCATTGACCCAGGGAGGAGGAGAGTCCCATTCTAAAGAAAAATCGGGGTCAACTGAAAAAGGACATGGATCATTAAGCCACTCTGGTTATGGTAAAGGGAATTCCCATTCTAAAGAAAAGGATCATCATGGATCTCACAAAGAAAGCCATTCGAAAGAAAGTTCAGAATCTGCAGAAGACGGCCATGGGTCATTTAGCCAATCGGGTTATGACAAAGGCGAATTTAAATCTTCAGAAAAAGGGCATCATGGGTCATTGACCCAGGGAAGAGGAGAGTCTCATTCTAAAGAAAAATCAGGGTCAACTGAAAAAGGGCATGGATCATTAAGCCACTCTGGTTATGGTAAAGGGAATTCCCATTCTAAAGAAAAGGATCATCATGGATCTCACAAAGGAAGGCATTCGAAAGAAAGTTCAGAATCTGCAGAAAACGGCCATGGGTCATTTAGCCAATCGGGTTATGGCAAAGGCGAATTTAAATCTTCAGAAAAAGGGCATCATGCGTCATTGACTCAGGGAGGAGGAGAGTCCCATTCTAAAGAAAAATCAGAGTCAACTAAAAACGGCTATGGATCAGTCAGCCACTCTGGTTATGGCAAAGGGAATTCCCATTCTAAAGAAAAGGATCATCATGGATCTCACAAAGGAAGCCATTCGAAAGAAAGTTCAGAATCTGCAGAAAACGACCATGGGTCATTTAGCCAATCGGGTTATGGCAAAGACGAATTTAAATCTTCAGAAAAAGGGCATCATGGGTCATTGACCCAGGGAGGAGAAGAGTCCCATTCTAAAGAAAAATCAAAATCAGCTGAAAACGGCCATGGATCATTAAGCCACTCTGGTTATGGCAAAGGGAATTTCCATTCTAAAGAAAAGGATCACCATGGATCTCACAAAGGAAGCCAATCGAAAGAAAGTTCAGAATCTGGGTCATTTAGCCCATCGGGTTATGGCAAAGGCGAATTTAAATCTTCAGAAAAAGGGCATCATGGGTCATTGACCCAGGAAGGAGGAGAGTCCCATTCTAAAGAAAAATCAGAGTCAACTGAAAAAGGACATGGATCATTAAGCCACTCTGGTTATGGCAAAGGGAATTCCCATTCTAAAGAAAAGGGTCATCATGGATCTCACAAAGGAAGCCATTCGAAAGAAAGTTCAGAATCTGTAGAAAACAGCCATGGGTCATTTAGCCAATCGTGGAGAAAAACCAAAGAAGTTGAAAAGACCGACAAATCCAAAGAAGAGAGTGACACATGGACATTTGGCAACTATAAACCTCGCACTTGGGAAGGGTCATCGAATTCCAAAAAACAGAAACATTCTGAGAGGTATACAAATAACACAAATAATACTTCAAAATCATCAGAAAAATCCCATTTATCCACTCCCGAGGAAGATTTGAGCAAATCACATAATTCAAAATATGAACAAATAATGGATAAGTCAAAAGAAACATCCAATTCTTCGGAGGATTCAAAAGCACAGAATAATAAGTCGGGAAAGGAAACCAACAAATGGTCGCAACATAGAACCAGATATGCCAGACATATTTCAAATATTCCCGGAATTTTTGTAGCCTCAAAGAAGGGAAAAAAATTGGATCTATCAAGAAGATATATCCGGAAATTATCACATAACAAATCGGTATATGTTGTACCAAAGCCACAAGAGACCGTCTCAGATACAATGGAGTACATAACTAACGGAAGAAATGGCTTTGTGGTTAAATCTCATCGCAATGGCAATGGGCAAAGAGAACTCAAATACTACACTGTCAATCGAAGGCAAATTGCAGGGGATTTCTAAAGTGGGAAATAATAAGGTTTAGGCACTCCAGATAGTCATATGAAAAAAATACACGAATATATACATAACTATGAACGATATGTTTATTAAATGTTTTTATAATTAGGAAAAAATAATAAAACGACTTTATTAATTAATTTAAAAAATAAT